CAGGAGGACTTCCTTGGCTTAACAGAGACTATAGTGTGTAAGGTCTGTTGTGACAAGGATGTGGCTGCAGCGTTCCTGCCCTGCGGTCACTTAGTCTGCTGTCTGGACTGTGCCCCTGCCATGAGGAAGTGCCCCCTCTGTGCAGAGCTTATCAAGGGCACAGTCAAAACCTACTTTGCTTAATTCATTAACTCTTGGTAAGTAGATATTCTTGGTCTGAAAAAAAGTTTTGTTGCCCTATACACAGAGTAAATGTTCTGTCAAAAAGTTTTTTACTGTTTTACTGTATTTTTGGCATCTCATATCTACTGTTTTTTTAATTCAGTTTTCCCTTAAGATAAAACCAATTAGCCATTAACAAGGAGAAATTTTGAGCTCATATTCTATCTGGTCTGGTTTCAGTCAGAAGTTCATTACTGTAATCTATTATTCGGGACAACTTTTATATTCTTTTTGTCAGTTTGAAATCTATCTGTGGAGACTACTTTTTGTGACTGAGGAAATATTTTACACAATACACAATGTTATTAGTAGTTTGCGGTTTGATATAGTAAAACAAAGGCGCAGAAATTGCAGATATTTCTCACATGTGAAGAAAAATTGGTTTATAGTATTTGCCTAAATTTTGTGGGATAATGGCGACAAATTTCATGTAATAGATATGAACATCTTTTTTTTTTTGTTTGACATCAGTAGTTGGATTTTGATATTTTCATATGGTTAAATCAGGTTGCTTAAGAAAAAAACAATCAATATGCCTCTAAAATGAAACATCATCTTCATACTTAGTTTATTTTATGTAATGTTTTTAGCTCACCTGAGCTGAAAGCTCAAGTGAGCTTTTCTGATCACCCATTGTCCGTCGTCCATCCGTCTGTCCGTCCATCCGTAAACTTTTCACATTTTCAACTTCTTCTCAAGAACCACTGGGCCAATTTTAACCAAACTTGGTACAAAGTACCCTTGGGTGAAGGGGAGTTTAAATTGTTAAAATAAAGGGCCAAGTCCCCTTACAAGGGGAGATAATCAAGAAAAGACAAAAATAGGGTGGGCTCATTAAAAAATCTTCTTCTCAAGAACCACTGGGCCAGAAAAGCTGAAACTTATGTGGAAGCATCCTGGGATAGTGTAGATTCTAAATTGTTAAAATCATGACCCCCGGGGGTAGGGCGGGGTCACAATAGGGAATCCAAGTTTTACATTGAAATATATAGGAAAAATCTTTAAAAATCTTCTTCTCAAGAACCACTGATCCAGAAAAGCTGAAACTTATGTGGAAGCATCCTGGGATAGTGTAGATTCTAAATTGTTAAAATCATGACCCCCGGGGGTAGGGCGGGGCCACAATAGGGAATCTAAGTTTTACATTGAAATATATAGGAAAAATCTTTAAAAATCTTCTTCTCAAGAACCTCTGATCCAGAAAAGCTGAAACTTATGTGGAAGCATCCTGGGATAGTGTAGATTCTAAATTGTTAAAATCATGACCCCCGGGGGTAGGGCGGGGCCACAATAGGGAATCTAAGTTTTACATTGAAATAAATAGGAAAAATCTTTAAAAATCTTCTTCTCAAGAACCACTGATCCAGAAAAGCTGAAACTTATGTGGAAGCATCCTGGGGTAGTGTAGATTCTAAATTGTTAAAATCATGACCCCCGGGGGTAGGGCAGGGTCACAATAGGGAATACAAATTTTGCATTGAAATATATAGGAAAAATCTTTAAAAATCTTCTTCTCAAGAACCACTGGACCAGAAAAGCTGAAACTTATGTGGAAGCATCTTGGGGTAGTGTAGATTTTAAATTGTTCAAATCATGACCCCCTGGGGTAGGGCAGGGTCACAATAGGGAATCCAAGTTTTACATTGAAATATATAGGAAAAATCTTTAAAAATCTTCTTCTCAAGAACCACTGATCCAGAAAAGCTGAAACTTATGTGGAAGCATCCTAGGGTAGTGTAGATTCTAAATTGTTCAAATCATGACCCCGGGGGTAGGGTGGGGTCACAATAGGGAAACATTGAAATATATAGGAAAAATCTTTAAAAATCTTCTCAAGAAACACTGGACCAGAAAAGCTGAAACTTATGTGGAAGCATCTTGGGGTAGTGTAGATTCTAAATTGTTCAAATCATGACCCCGGGGGTAGGGCAGGGTCACAATAGGGAATACAAATTTTGCATTGAAATATATGGGAAAAATCTTTAAAAATCTTCTTCTCAAGAACCACTGATCCAGAAAAGCCGAAACTTATGTGGAAGCATCCTGGGGTAGTGTAGATTTTAAATTGTTCAAATCATGACCCCCGGGGGTAGGGCAGGGTCACAATAGGGAATCCAAGTTTTACATTGAAATAAATAGGAAAAATCTTTAAAAATCTTCTTCTCAAGAACCACTGATCCAGAAAAACTGAAACTTATGTGGAAGCATCCTGGGGTAGTGTAGATTCTAAATTGTTCAAATCATGACCCCGGGGGTAGGGTGGGGTCACAATAGGGAAACATTGAAATATATAGGAAAAATCTTTAAAAATCTTCTCAAGAACCACTGGACCAGAAAAGCTGAAACTTATGTGGAAGCATCTTGGGGTAGTGTAGATTCTAAATTGTTCAAATCATGGCCCCCGGGGGTAGGGCGGGGTCACAATAGGTATTACAAGGGGGGAAGTCTGGTAATGAACAGCATGGCCAAAGTTACTCAGGTGAGCGATGTGGCCCATGGGCCTCTTGTCATTATTAGCCATTTGTTATTTAACAAGAATAAGCTTGATCTCATTAATACAAAAAGATGACCACTATGTTTGGGTTTGGGACGGAAGGCCTAAAAGCATGTAAAAATTTAAGGTATTTTTTTGTAGGTAAATGTATATCTGCTCTCACTCTCATCCTCATGATTATCCTGCTCGAGCATCTTCCACCTCCCCGTGGTGAGTAGGGGGCAATGGACAACAATACAACTTAGAGGACCTTGCTCCCAGTAAAGTGAAATAATTAATCATCAAGGCCAAAGGAAATACAGATGATATATCTATGATGTAGAATGATTGTTACTTGCGTTGAATGTGAAAGAATTTACAATCTACATGTAGACTTACAAATACCTTGACTTTGACCAACGAATTTATCAACATGGACAAAATGTAGAAAAGCTGATGTCATAGAATAGATACTTTCTAGCATAAGATGAGAGGCTAGATTGCACATTAGGTTTTACTGCTATAGCTTGGTTTATAGCTATGCTGTGCCAAACATGCTAAATGTCTATTGATTAGCTGTGTAAGACTATGTGTGCTAAATGATTAGTTCTGGCTGAAATCTGTGTCAATTGATTTGCTCAACTACAAAATGAACTCAGATCATTCATTTAAAAGTATTTAAGGCATTGGAACACGATACATACATAATTATTTTTTTAATAAAAATATGATCCATAAACATCGAACATTTTAAAAAAAAAATTAGATTAATAATTAAATCTTTTTATTTAGGCACTTGTATGAAGCCATGTAAGCCACATTTCAAGCATTTTTCAGATACAATACCCATCCTGGATAAAATTAATCAAACTATCAGAACATATTGCCACTTACATTTCATTTTAAGAAGAATATACCAATATACCTTATCTACATATAAAAAAAATGTTTAATTTCAATACACAGAAGAGGAATGAAAAAATTTTGACTGTGTTTACAGAATAGCTTGAAAGGATGTTGTTTTATTGACCATACAAGTTGATGGAATGTGTATAGTACAGTTTATTGTGAGGAACACCTTAACAAAGTTGTCTAGCAGAGAGAAGGTGCACTTTCTTCATTATCTCATCCACATTAAAAGAACTAGATGTGTTAAGGACTCTTTTTTGACCCCTTTTATTGAGTGACACTCAATGTAATCAGGATTTTTAATGCCTTATAAGGGGCAAAAAATGGCCTTACTGTACCTTGTTCTTTTGAATAACTATGTTTGGCAACATATATTAGAGGCTTTGTGAAAAATAAACTGATCTCATTATATATATATCCATCATCCTTTGCCAACTTTTTCTTGTTTTTTGCATTGTACATGTTATCTATAGTAGTACATGTATTATATAGAGTTGTGAGTAACAAGTAGATTAGAAAGGTTAATTTTATCTTGATGCTTATTTAGCAATTGCAAGATTTCAGTTAATATTTTAATTTAGCAATTGCAAGATCTCAGTTTATATTTTGATAATCATGTTTATGCAAGTTAATGTTTATACCTTGAACTACATGTCACCACTATCATCACTATGATAGCATTTTAAAGCTATTGTATGAAATGTTTGCAAAACTGTGTCGGAAATAATCCATTCCTTTTTTTTACTAGTTTAGTCATTGTCCCTTGCAATTGTACATGGACCGTGGGTATAAAGTGTGTAAATAAAAAATAAATTGCAACTGATCGAAAATGTTAGTAACGTACTGGTAGATTTAATAGACATTTTTATGCTTCGACTTGGAATTTGAAATATGCATATGCATGTATATTTCTCTACTAATTATATTTTTCATGTAATAATCAAGTACTTTATAAAACTAGTCAGGGCTGTTCTGGCAGTCAACGTTCCATGAATTTCAAGACTATGGAGTTTGCATATGTTTGACATCAGTTCAGTTATTTAATTTCTATTTTTTGTTGATTTCCTCCTCTAATTGGTCATTGGTTAGTTATTTTCAGTTGTGATCTATTTGGAGGAGGAAGTCTTCTTGTTAATACAAGTTTGACCCCTTGTAAATTTACTTTTTTGGTATCTTAACTTGGAGTGCAATAACTCATGACCATGACCAAACAACTTCCAGATGGGATTGTAAATATATGGAGAAGAGAGATTATTAAAAAAAATTGTATTGCATTTAATGATGCATTAATAACATATATTAGTTGATAACTTTGTATTATTCTTATCTAGTAGAATTTAAGTGGAATATTTTTTTTTTGTGAGAATGCTGTATGGAATTCAGCATTATATTCTGTAAAAATTTTGTTGCTGATACTTGTATGTACATTTTTATGACTTAGTTCAACCTATACATAAAGTTGTATGACTTAATTAAAAAAATAAAATGATTTTAATTTATTTTTCTTTTGACTGTCCCAGTGTGTAACATTGAAGGGAAAAAACCTGCCATAAATATATTTGATATTGGAACTAGATTGACTTTGTGAAACAAAGCTGCAATTTTTCATTAAATGAAATATTAGAGCCTCTTTTTCACAACAAATCTGAACTATAATTTTTTATAACCAGTTAACCATTCATTCGTAAACTGTACTCATTTTTGACATTCCATGCATTTGACAGTATGGTTAGTTTTATAATGAAAATGGTGAAGCTGATGAACAGTGATTGATAGGGGAAAAATCTACAAACAATAGAATCTGCAAACGGGGCATAAAACACAGACCCTTTGAAGTTCAAGTTGTGGGGTAAGATGGCTAGGAGGAATAAGCATCCCATGTTGACCGGTCACACTTGCCATGAGCTCTGTTTTGATCAGATAGAGGGAACATTCCACATTAGTCATATTAATATTAAAGAAATCTTATTTATTAGCATGAAACACGTCAGCCAAAGTACTACCCAATGATAGGTTATATGAGCTTACGAGGTCACTACATGTATAACGACCAAAAAATTAACGCTGATCAGCATAAATTAATACTGATTTTAAACGAGTTTGTTGAAATCCCTGTAAAATCACTGTACAATATGCCAGTAGCCTGTGTCGGTTAAAAAATTGATCGTACTCGGAGCATATCGAATAAGTTGGAAGACATAAACACCATATATGCAGGTGATAGCGGAAAATTACTACAAACATACGGAAAGTTGACGATGTTGAAATGCTGAAGTCATCTCGTTTGTTTTACAATCTTGTAAATTAATATTCTGTTTTCAAAATGTCTTAACATGCTTAAAATATAAACACTTAAAATTGTGATATCCAAAAGGATTATAGGATTATAAAGGAAACATCAACTTAGGGTATCTCGCACAAATGCCCGGTAATGTACCTTTTTTTTTTTTTTTTTTTTTTTTTTTTTTTTTTTTTTTGAGGAAACTTCTTAAAGTGGCAATACTTCAATAACAATTTCGTGGGAAAACTTACACATTATTGAGGAACGTCTAGTCTGACCTTAAATCAAATGAACTGGAGAGACATGTACAGTAAATGAATAATCACACATGCATGTGTTTATTGCAAAACTTTTGTTAACTCACCTAGACTGACTGGATAGCGCAGACTGTTTCTTCAACGTGTAAGTCACTAGTATGTCTACAGAACATAGAGATGACGGATCTATCACTGAAATATAAACAGAAAAAAAATGTAATCTTTTCTTTTTTAACGTTCAATTCTGAATAGAAAGAACTACATGTAATATTTTTATACCCCATGTGAGGCTCCAAGTACTTGCATTGGTACATGGGTATAGCAAAGAGTACAAGTTACATATGTTTCAGCATTAAAAGCTGTTTCTTTAAACTAGTTTCATAATCTAAATATCAGATTAAAAAAAAATCTTCTACTGTCAATTTCCAAATCTTTAAAAAGAGTGGTGCCCGTGATATACATCTCTGATATATATCTCTGATGACACTATACAAGTACACAATATGTAATGATAGAAAAAACTCAATGCAATAAATTAAATTAACTTCTTATTAAGTTGTTCAGTTCAATATATGCTATTCTTTGCCTACCGCTATATATTCACAATGCACTTGTCAATCTTGTAAAGATGTTATATGTAGCTTTATCTAATCACACCCACTTTGTTTGGTATGCATTACCGACCTAATACTGGTATTTTTGAACAAACCAAAATCGACAGGAAGATCAAAAACTTCGCCTTAATGTTGATTTATTAGATGTTCAGTGCGCGGGATATTTTGGAGGCATGAAGAGGCAAGAAACTGTGTGTGTGTCTTTGCCTCGACCTCGCGACTCTCTTTGCATTTGGCGTTGAATCAGAAAAAAATATATCAACTAAGTTGTTATAGAATGGAAAACTGTATATCCAGGAAAATTTTCAAAATTAATTTTCGAGCAAAGTATTTACTACTAAAATTAAGTTTCAATTCATCAAAAGTGATTCGTTTTTATGTTTTTATGCCCCCGTATCGAAGATTCGGGGGTATATAGTTTTTGCCCTGTCCGTTTGCTGTCTGTCTGTCTGTTTGTTCGCAGAAACTTTAACTTTGTCCATAACTTTTTATTGGTTGGAGCTATGGCTTTCATATTTCACATGTGTATTCCATGTGACAAGACCTATCACCATATTTGAACTTTTGACCTTGACCTAAGAGTTTGACCCAGTTTTGCAAAATTTTACCAAACTTTAACCTTGACCGTAACTTTTGAACAATTGGTGCTGGGGCTTTCATACTTCACATATGTAATCCTTGTGACAAGACCTTCCTTTGGATACCAACAACTTTGACCCTTTGACCTTCACCTTGGAGTTCGACCTACTTTTGAAAAACTTTAACCTTGGCCATAACATTTGAAGGATTGGTGGTACGGCTTTCATATTTCACATGTGTAATCCTTGTGACAAGACCTTTCTTTGGATACCAATAACTTTGACCCTTTGAACTTGACCTTGGAGTTTCACCTACTTTTGGAAAACTTAAACCTTGGTCATAACTTTTGAACGATAAGTGTTTCGGTTTTCATATTTCACCTGTGTATTTCTTGGGAGAAGGCCTTTCCTTGGGCACCATTAATTTTGACTATTTGACCTTGACCTTGATGTTTGACATACTTTAGAATTTTTTTTTTAACCTTTTCCATACATGTATCTATTCAATGGTTGTTGCTAGGGCTTTCATATTTCACAGGTTCATTCCTCGAGACAAGATCTTACTTTGGGTACCAACATATTTGATTTGCATTCGAGAAAGTTTAACCTTTGCAATAAGTTTCCATACGGGGGTATCAGTGTTTCACAAACACATCTTGTTTAACTTAGAAAACAATATGCAGAGTGATTTCCATTGGAGAGATTAGTATATTATTTTTTGCGATATTTTCTTATATTAAAACCCCAGCCTCTGACTAAAGACAAGCAATCATAGATTATCAATACACAACTTCAAATTAGGTATTTTTTTTACCCAAGACAAAACAGCACAAATTATCAATTCACAAATTACAATTAGATGTATCTTTTGACTTAAAACAAACTTGCACATGTTATAAAAGAAAATCTTGGACTACAATTAGGTGTACCTTTTGACTTAAGACAAAACGTTCACAGATTATTAATGCACAAGTTACAATTAGTTATATTCTTATAGCAAACTTACACAGAATATAAATACATAACTAACACATTTAGATCACAGAAGAAAAAAAAAACATACCAATAAACATACCCATAAAGCATTTCCAAGACTACTAATTGCGTCCAGTTCAAAATATGTTATTCCTTAGAATGAGCTTAGAATGCAAAAATGTTATCAGTCTCCTCATTTTACCACACCAAGTGTGTGTTTTTAAAATGACGATAGGAATGCATAATTCCATCTTTTTTGTTATTTCTGAACCAACCGAAATCCGACAGGAAGACCCAATAATCTCCATATCTTATATTGATTAAAAACGTATTCAGTGCAAGTGATATTTTGAATAAGATAAAAATATATATCAACTAATTTAAAATAGAGTGAAAAACTGTATATCTAGGAAAACTTTCAGCATTAATTTTTAGCAAGGTGTTTCCTACCAAAACTGAGTTTCAATTCATCTACAATGATCTTTATTTTTACTAGGAAAACAATATGCAAAGTGAATTCGATGAATATACAATTTTTTGCGGTCATATTTTCTTTTGGCTGTAAGAAAACCCAGGAATTTTCTAGACCCCAGCTTTTGACTTAAGACAAACAACTGTAAATTATCAATACGCAACTTAAAATTAGGTACATGTATATCTTTTGACTTAAGACAAACTTGCACAGATTATAAATGAACATCATAGGCTTCAATTAGATGTATCTTTTGACTTAAAACAAAACCTGCACATTCACAATGTATTATCAATTCACAAATTACAATTTGATACATCTTTTGGCTTAAAACAATCTTGCACAGATTATCAATACACAACTTACATTTAGATCACAGAAAAACTCAATAAACACAGGAACGCAATTCCCAGACTTGTGAGAACAATACAAAGAAAAATAACTCTTCCCTTTTCATACTGAAATTTTCCGTGAGTAATTTTTTCTCGGGAGATCCTTTGCTTGCGAAAATCCCAAAGTTTTGTTTAAAGATTCTGCAAATGTGTCGTTTTGAGGAGTTATTTACGTTAATGGACCACTGAATAAATTAATTCTGTAATATTTGTTTTACAATAGCGATTGCCCATTTATAATTTATATTGACACCCATTTGATAAACCACACATATTACAAATTTTCTTATACAATCTAACCATGGGTTTGTTAAATTTCCATCACAATATAGTTTAAACATATATTGTATAATATAATGTATTTACAATTTTATTTTGCTGACCTGAGTTAAATTTTCCAGATGTGAGAACATTCTTCAATGTACTGAGATATATAGAGGAAATCGACTCGTTTCACCATATACCATATACGCTGGTGTGAAACTTTTCAAACTAAATACATGCTTTAAATTTCAAGTGTAAATGTCAATGATATCAAGATATTAGTAGCCCCATACTTCAGAGCTATATAGTAATAAGACGTGTACCACGACTTTTTCAAAAAGATCAAACTAGCAGTCAGCTGATAAATTAAGTTGTCTAATTTTTCTTATGATGCCTTGCATAGTTGTTTGTGCTTGTACATATATATGTGTATTTTTTCTAACAAAAAAAAAAGTGTGTGAAAATACAACTTAAGTACATGTATCTAAATTCTTTACAATTTCTTTACCTATAAGTTGTCGCAATGAAATTTTCTTTTTAAGATAGGACTCTTTGAAAATACTAGGATCTGCGTTTTTTTTTTAAACATACACGTGCAACTTCCGTTGTCAAAAAATATCTGATATTCGGCAAGTGCATGTAGTCCATCGGCTGATTCAGCCATAC